TGATCTGAAAACAAGCAAATACGCAGCCTGAAGCAGTAGAAAATGTTGTGGCCAGAAGTAAGAAAAATGCCTCAATAAAATCCACAAAACAACAAGTAAAATGATGGAAGAGGGGGACTGGTTGTGGTTAGAGAACAGAAAATGGCACCATTGTCCTCTGTAAGACCTGCTGCAGGTTCAGCACACAGTTTTTTTTTATTTTAGAGCTGAAACTCTAAAATAAATTGATCAGTCAACTGAAATACTGTCAGATATTTTGATAATTGATTAACTGCTTCAGTCATTGGTTGTACAACTTTGTATATAGTAATATTATACCTTGGACTCAAATAGATGCTTTTTTATTTCATAGACTAAACAATGAATCCATTAAAATAGTCATCTGATCTGAGATGAAAATATTCATTAGTTGCAGCCTTAGTTTGCTTTATAGCGTGTAATGTATCAGGGCTGTAACTGATGATCTGTTTTGGATTATGGATTATTTTATTAATTTAGTGTTTGGTCTATAAAATCTTACAAAAAAGCAAAATATATCCATCACAATCTCCTAAAGCACATGGTGAATATATCAGATGGCCTGCTCCAGTAGCTCAGAGAAAATCAGTTAGCGTGATAAATGACTTGAACGATTAATAGATTAATAAAACTGTTGCTGATTATTTTTCAGCTAGACTGCTAATGTCGATAACGATGATGTATTATAAGACAGTTCAAAACACTGGTGTCCAAAAAGAAGCAAAATATTCCTGAAAGTTATTCAAGAGACAAAAAACCTCTGACTAACAGTTAATTTCCTGCACCAGTCAGACGCACACATCCTTCGTCTCCTCACATGATCTTCCTCTATATATTGCTGTGAATTGATGGCTTTCAGTTCAGTATTAGTAGCTTGCATAACTGGGCGTTTTCTTCCCCTCTTTCTTCTCTCTCAGCTGCTTAGCGCCCAGTAGAGCAGTGGATGATGGGAGCTCCGACACGGCATGATCTAAAAACCCACTGGCGCTTTAGTGTGCCTCAGCTGGCTTATATAACCCCGTGTGGATGTGCAAACTGCCTTGCTATTGGGAGAGCTGAGGACTCACGGAACAGACACACACACACACACA